TCCTGACATGAAAATGCTGGGTAGGCAAGTTAATTAGAATCAACAGTATGTAGATAAGGAAGAGCCGGAAGCCAAGTTCAGAAGGTCCTTACATATATGGAGATGAGTGACCCCAGGGGAAGCCATTCATTCCAGTTCTATAAGAAACCAAATGTAAAACACATTTTTCCATGGCTAGGTATGAATTCATTAGCTCAGATGTGGCATTTGGTTAGATATGGTGAGTCACTGGTCTCCAAAGAGAGATGTACAAGACAATCAATTAGTCTGTAGAAAAAACAGAAGTTATGTTCACATTTATTTTTATATTATCTTAAATTTCTGCTTGCATATCTTTTAATATATGAAAATTATTCATATACTTATATATCTTGAATAATAATGAATAATTTATGCATACAGATATGCATTCTAGGTGCATGCTGATTTTTTAAGCCAACAGGGTAATCAATAAGTCAGTATGAAAGTGCTGTTTAAGATTTTTGTTATTAGTGGACCTTGCAGTGTGAATAGGACTAAAATTAATGAAGTATGAATGGTGAGCATGACTTTGACCTAATAGGTTTCTTAAGCATGGGAGACATTGGCCAAGATGAATCTTAGGAAGATGAACCCCAAGTTTAGTGGAGCCCAGGATGTAGATGGTTACTTAGACCAAGCAAAAAGGTTGAGATCACTTGGAAGCAAACAAGCATACAGGTTCTGTCTAATTCCAATAAAATGGAGCACTTACACGTGGCCTGAGTCAAGGGAGAAAAAATTTAAGAAGCCTAAGAAAACTGAAAAGAGACTTGGAGAGATGAAGGCCTAATATTCTCCCAGGAGCATACATTTTATAGGCCCCATAGCCTGTCATCTTGGCAGTAGGTAGTAAGTAGGTCCTTGCGGTACAAGACAGATAGGTTTCAATAGGATTGGCAGAGGGGCATATGGCTACTTTGGGTTGTGGATGAAAGATGAAAATCCCATAAGCTCGAGGGAAATAACAAGGGCAGTTCAGGAGACCCTGAAATCAACTTTCCCCTATAGTTTTGCAGGAGGTCACTTCTGCCTAAATATAATATCAAGTAAATGACTAATTCTGGCATGTACAGACACTACACTAAAAGGCTACCCTAAGACACGGTGTTTTGTGTTTTTTGTTTCTTTCAATGAGAAATAACCATGGGAGAAGAATCATAACATTAGAAAAAGTAAAATAGGGAAAAGTAAATAGTTTAGCTCCTATGTACCCTTAATCATAGGATCCTAGATTTATGTAAACCCTAAAAATAAATTATTTTTCTCTGGAAATTTTTACGTGTTCCATCCCAAATTTAAAATATGCCCTTCAGGGCCAAGGATGTAGCCCAATGGTGCTGTGCCTCCCTGGCAAGCACAAGGTCCTGAGTTCAATTCCCAGTACCAAAAAATAAAATACAATATGCCCTTCCAAGCCAGGCATGGTGGTGCATGGCTGTAACCCCAGCACTCAGCAGGCTGAGGCAGGAGGATTTTTGTGAATTTGAGGCCAGCCTGAGCTATGTAGTGAGTTCAAGGCCGGCCTGAACTACAGAGCAAGACACTGTATCAAAAACAAAACAAAGCAAAACAAATGCCCTTCCAATACATTTTATAGGTAAGACATCTTTTGTGGTCCTGGGGCATCTGCATTCAGTGGAGAAGGCCATAAATATTACTGAGAAGAAAACAAAATGGCAAGGAATGGCATTGGCACCAAAGGGGATGCTTGGAGTGGGAGTCAATGTTTCCTTGGGGAGGGTAAGTTTAGAACGAGCTCCTCAAGGAGAGACTGGGAAAGTGACCCAGAGGATCACCCAAAACTCTCAAAATAAATAATTCTGGTCCTACCCATTCTACTCCATAAAAATGAGACGATAAAAATGAGTCTTCTCAAGAAAGGAAGCTACAACCCCATCTTGACAAGGCATCTGCTCGCACATTCTCCTTAGCAGAGATGTGAGCAGCTGGAAACCAACAACTGTTTCTGAAAGCTTTCTTCCAGATGTGTGAGGCTTTTTCTGAATCCTGACTGATCAAAACACGCTCTCTCAGCTCAAAAGCTCGAAAAGATCAAATAACCAAAGCTATGTAACCATCCTGCTTTGGATAACACCTTCCATGATAGTTAAAAATTCTACCCTGTTTATCTCCCTCTCCACTCCCCACCCCCTAGACATGCACTAGGAGCCAGGAAAATGCGTCTTTCTCCTTACACCACCCCTCCTTACTATCTGAATGCCAAACCAACTTAGAGTCAACTTCTAGGTTGGAGATTGTCACCTTTTTCTTTAGTCCTGTACCAGCTGCCTCTCAGTGGTCAAGCTAAATCCATTTAGCTTATGTTTGACTTATGGATCGTCTGGGGTGGAAATAAATTTTTTTTAATAATTCTCATTCTTTAGAACAACTGGTAATAATGAGGAAAAACTAATGGGCATTTGTAAGCTGTTTTAAGGCACAATTCCTGGCCTATGCATTGTTCATGTGTGCAAACCATTGTTAAGGTACCAAATTCACTGTGCAACTGGGCTGGAAAAGTCCCTGAACTCAAAATTACTTTGGTATGCACATTTCTGAGGCTTGGTTCTGTTTAACATTTTCATCAGCGACCTGCTTAAAGGAGAAGAGAGCAAGCTCATTAAGTTCCTAGATGAGAGGGATGACCAGAACTTTGGAGAACAGGATTAGAATTTCCCCAGCCCTTGCCAAATTAGCAAAACTGTCAGACTCAAATATGTTCATCGGAGACAGACAGAGAAAAGTGAGCTGCCCAGACACAAGCTGAGTAGTAGCAGTTACTTAGAACTAAAAAGAATGTAGATGCAAGAAAGACTCATTGTGGGAAATGAACCAGCCCACTAACCCTGGGGTTCACTAGGGCCTCTGCACCCTCTTAAAATAGATTCAGATCCCAAGTCCACAGAATTCAAAGCATAAAACCCTCCTGGAATTTCCAAGAATGTCGGGGAGCTTTTCTTTCTCATGAGCAGCTCTAGCTTCAGATTCCTGGTTCCACTTAATTAGCCTAGTTTTTTATTCATTTCACTGTCATATTTTAGTCACCTCATTACAAATCTTGTTGACCCAAACACTAAAATGCACCTCCTTCCCATGAGCAAATCATGGCCTCCTGAGAAGGGCCTATGTGTGTCTTTGGTTGTCCTGGCTCTCATTCAACCCATACAAGTAAACTTCTACCCCAAGTAGCTTACCAAGGTGTTTTCCTAAATGTAGACAGTTCTGTCCCTAAGAGGAATCCTGTGACCATCTGTTTAACTATACTTGCATCTGTGTCACCTAATAAAGGTGAGCATGACAAAGTCATGAGCTGATGGCACTACTGGGAGAGTCAGTACTTCTGTGAAATGGACAATAATACATATTTTGGAATTTCTTTTGACTGCTCAATGCTGATGCTGTAACATGAAAACATTTCGTACGTGATCTGTCAATGAATGGACAGTGCTGGATTTGGCCCTGGGTTGGACTATAGCTTCATAGCTCCTGCTAGATTCAATTTCGGAATCTTTGGCTTCATGTCTAACCAGTTCATTTTCCACATGCAGAAAGTAGCAGCCAGGAAGCACAGTGACAGTTCTGCAAGTTCATAAGGCAGTTAAGTGTGGGTTAAAAGTTCAAACCAGAAACAAGTGGGACAATTTCTAGGCCAGGCCCTTTCCACCCCTCTGTCACCAGGCTATTTCCAGAAGGCCCTGAGGAAGCCCAAGTAAGTGGTGGAGCCCCTTTCAGAAGTCTTCCCACTGCAACTTTTGAGGTGGTGCATGAGTCCTCTTACCAAGACGGGTGTTGGCCTAAAGACTTGGGTGAGGCTGTCTCTATGTTCCAAAAGGCAGAAAAACAGAACAGAGCCCAAAATAAATGAAGAAGGACAGTTATGAACAAAGTTCTAAGGTCATAGTCTTACAGAGTTTAAATAAAGTTAAAAATGACAAGATCTCCTCCTACCAAGAAGAATTGTTTAAAGAAGAGCACTTATTTTTCATTTATTATCAAATGAACAGGACCACGTCGTAGGGAAGATCCTAGGAAGAACCTGCCAGAGCTATCAAGAGTCATGTACCACAGAAAGTGACAGAGTTCCCTTAGTAATCAGATCTGAGAGCAGTTCTTCTGGACAGGGTTGGGGAAGTGTGACAGACAGAGATGGTGACTTTCAAAACCCTGTCCCTGTCTTTAAGATCCATGAAAGTTACAGGACAATGCCAACAGAACTACCCTGACTCATTACCCTTCACGAGAACAGAGCAGTTTCTTGAAGAGGGTTGTGAAGTGCAGAACACAAAGTGGGTACTTGTATTAGAAAAAAATTTGTCCAGATTTCAAAGGACCTCCCAAATGACACTCCCTCCACAGTCAGACATTTGGAGAAACTCAGGGAAAACCTGAAGTTCAAGGCCAGAAACTTTTAGCCTCTTTCAATTGCTCATGTGTAGGGTCAGGGATAGAGCTTAGTAGTAGAGTGCTTGCCTAGCATACCCACGGCCCTGGGTTCGATCCATAACACCCAACACCACCAAAGAACGGGGCAAATGTTTCTGTGCTACATGTGTGACGTCTCTACTGCAGTAGAGTGCTGGAGTTTTTGTTGCTATTACTTTATTTTCAATGCTGGGAATGCAAATGCTGTACTACTGAGCTATATCCCCATCCCTGACATCAGAAAGTTCTTTATGTAAACGGTAGGCAACCTGTAACTTGAAGACCCAGTAGCTTGGGCTTATTCTTTCGTGAAAGCTAGGGCCAAGTATTTACGAGAACTATTATTTTATTACCTTGAATAAAGATAAACTATAGTGTACTTCTTGTTACTAATTAAAAATGGTGCAGTCTGTTCCAATATCATTCAGAATGGTATATTTTATAAAACTATCTCAAAAGGTTATTTGTCTTAAGCCACAACTTTTCCAAAGTCCACTTTTTCCAAATAACAAACTCCTGATAATAGTAATTTTTCATTCTTTTAATTTTTTTTCCAGATGACCCAGGAACCTGTGCCTCATGTGCTGTGGGGTATTACATGTAAGTCTGGCCCTTTTCCATGATCCTAAATTTTCTTCAGTTTAAGCATTACTGACTTAATCCCAAATCCCGTGATTAAAGCAGAGAGGCCATGCACCCTGAAGCAACTATGTCCTGTGGGCTATTAATGAGCAATTCTTGGATTTAGCAATAAGAGCACAGCTGTTTTCTTGCCTGGAAAGGAGGCCTTCTCTTTCTTGTCCTGGAAGTCATCCAGCCTGACACTGGTGTCTAGGAATCTTGCCACAGGTTACCAAGGTTCAGCATCGCTGTTTACAGACAGACCTTAATAATACACCCAACCCGAAGTGAGCTGTTTCCAAATGTCTGCACAGACACCTTGTCCTTAACAGAGTCAAACACTCCAGGGGGAAGCCAGGTATAGTCATCCCCTGGGAAACAGACACAGACCACCAGGTTAAACAGGACATGGATAACCACTGGCTCCAATGTTCTCTAATAAAACTTATCAAATCAAGGACAGTGTATTTCATCATCACCTTCTTTCCTATTCTAGTCTTCTTTCCAGCTATGTTGTTGCCTATCCAGCAAGCAAAACTAAGAAAAGGAAAGAGATGAAGGGAAAGGCAGGGTCTAACTAAGATATAAGCTTCCTGATCTCTACCCAGCTACAGGACTTATGAGATATATAAGTTTTCCTTTCCATTTTCCCCCTTCATCCTATATCAAGATTTCAGGAAGCCAGGCATGGTGGTGCACACCTGTAATCCCTGCACTCTGGGAGGCTGAAGCAGGAGGGTCAAGAGTTGGAACCCAGTCTGGACTACTTAGGAACTTAGAGAGACCTTGACTTAAAATAAAATATAAAAATAGGGATGGGGATGTGGCTCAGTAAGAAAGTTCTGTGTTCAATCACCAGTACCCCCCCCCCACACACAGAAGATTTCAGGTTTTTTCAAATTTCTGAATATTTTATATACATTGATAAGATATCTTGGGGATGGGACCCAAGTCCATATACAAAATCCCTTATGTTTCATATACCATTTATACATTTACCCTGAATATAATCTTATTCAATATTTGTAATGATGTTGTGCATCCATGTCAGTGCTCACAAAGTTTTGAATTCGGCTGCTCTTGACATTTTGGATTTCTGAATTACAGATGCTCAACCTGTACTTATAGTTTCAGTCCAACTTTTCCAGAATGGCTGTCATTCTCTCGTTGACTGTTTCCCTCGTTGACTCCTTGCCCACTGATTTAAATGCTTATTCCACTTAAACAGGGGAAGAAAGGTCCAAAAGAAGCTCCAGGTTTGATTATTTTAAGATAGGCCAGATGACATTTAATAACCACAAAGTCATTATCAGCATTTTCCTAGATGATGCTGATGTAACATGTAGCCTGCCACAGGGTCTCCAAGCAGAAAAGAACATGTTCCTTGGTGGGGTCACAGGATAGGGGATATGAAATGTCCCTTGAGGAACTGAGGGCTTCAGATTCCAAAAACATAAGGACCATACAGAAGTGGGTGAGGAATTCCCCTGTCATCCCTCTTACATCTCTGCATCCCTCCAGTCTAACTCCACCCTGGCTGCCTCTGCACCGTGACACCTGAACACCCCCATATCCCTGCACCTGTCTGTCCTCCCCTGAGCTCACCCTCTGTGGGAAGTGGAGCAGCCCCGTGAGCCTCACTGGCTCGCTGATGGGAGTGTGTCACAAAGCCCTCAGAGAGAGAAACGCACTGAAACGACAAGTCCCCATACCACTATGGTAAAGCTCAGCTTACTTGTCTCAAAAAGCAAGCATTATTCCCTCTTGGACTTTTTAGTGTTTTGAATCTAGCCAATGAGTGCTGTACAACAGACTTTAAGCAAGATATGCAGATGTTGCCCCTGGTAGCTCACTGACGCTTTGAAACTTACCAAACTTCATTCCACTCTTTCTGCAAATGAACGTTTCATTCAGTAGAGCCTGAATTACAACATTTGACTGTATAATTAGAATAGTGGACAATATATGTAAAAACTTATATAATGCATATATACATATATGTGTGTGTATATATATATATATGTCATACAGAGTCTGCCAAAAAATGTATACATCAGGACAAGAAAAACTTGTATAAATATTTTAATACTAAATTTATGGAGACATCATGATATTAATACAATCACCTTTGAGGTCAACAATTATAAGAAGTACTCAAAGTGGTGGCCATCACCTTCTAGACATCGGCGAACTGCTGCAGTGTGTATACATTTTACTGGCGGACTCTCTCACTTCACTGTTGTTAATAATCTGGTTGCTGTTATTCTAACAAGCTCCTTGAACTCAGCATTCAGCTTCTCAGCTAAGTGCCAGCTGCCGAGCAGCAAATCACACAAGCTTATCTCTTCACACAGACTTTGTTTTAAATCTTGGTCCCGCCTTTAAGGGGATTTTGAACACTTACCCTTGAGCTTCTGTCTCCATATCTAGAAATTAAAGAAATACCTACTATGTGGGACTTGGGCAGAGATTCAAATAAGCCAACCCTTGGCCCACGATCAGCGCTCCCTACACAACTATAGGTGCCTGCTCTGAGGGTCTTCAGAGGTCCTGAAGGAGGTGGTAAAGGACTAGGTTTAACAGGGCAGCCCGGACCAAGAGGAAATGTCCTCGGTTGAAATCCAACCTCCTGCTGCTGTTAAAAGCGCTGGCTGTGTGGACGCGCGTGCGGAGGTGAAGCCCTGTGCTTAGCCGTCCGCATCTCAGCCCGCCCCTCATCCACACCCGCCAGGTTTGAGCACCGCTGTTACAAAGCCTGTCCGGAGAAGACCTTCAGGGAAGGGCTGGAGTGCAGAGCCTGCAGCGCGAACTGCGGCAGCTGTGACCCCAACGGGTGCTTCTGGTGCGAAGACAGCTTCTTCCTCCTGGGTAAGTGGATCTGCGCCACGCAGGAAAGGCAAGCAAGGCTGGGCGTCGGCACCCTGCGCGCGCTAGGAGCGCTCCTGCCGATGGCTTCTGACTCTTTCCCTGCGAGTGCCTCTGGTCCAACCAGGAACTTGAATTTGGTTTGGAAATAAGTATTAGCCAGGACTGCTTCCTTCTGCATTTATTACTGAAGCATGCCTCATATGTAACCAATTGATCACATATCTCCAAGCTGGTGGGAACAAGAGCGAGTTGGTAAATGCTTGGGAATTGAATGTTCAGAGCCATGACCCTTTTCTTGGGGCTTCATTCGTGTTCTAAATTCCTTGAGGTGAACGAGATCTTAGGTTCCAACCAACCCCCTGATTCGATGGCCGTGCAGTCCGCTGCGAGTCTTCCTGGTGAAGAACGAAGTGTGGACCTCTTGGGTGCTGGAGAGAGTGAGGTAGACAGTGGCCTTCAGAGGTTTTCTCCAGAGACTCATCTTACTTGCAGTGTTTCAAGGCTTCAAGGACGCTAAGGCCCTTATCCTTTAAGCTCATGGCCATGCTCCTTGATCGAAATACGCTAAAGCCAACCTGGTTTCTTTCAAAACAAACAGTCAGAAACGTCCTGGAGACGCCCTGCCACCCGCGTTGAACTTAGCCTTGCGCACTGCAGCAGGCGAAGCCGGCCCGAGCGCTGCCTTCACGCGGGTGACCTCTCTGTGCTCTCACAAGGTGGCAGCTGTGCGCGGGAGTGTGGCCCCGGCTTCTACGGAGACCGAGACGTGGGAGAATGCGTGCCCTGCCACCGGGCCTGCGAGACCTGCACGGGCCCCGGCCGCGATGCGTGCAGCAGCTGCCTGGAAGGACTGAGGCTCCTACGTGGGGCGTGCGTGCGACGGGCCTGGCCCCCGGCAGAAGGCGAAGTCGGGAAGGGTAGGTGCCATGCAGTGCCCTGGCCGCTGCCTCCCTTGCTCTGCAGGCCCTGGGCTTTAAATTTTCCAATGGAAGAAGGCTGGGCAGAGAAACAGTTGGGTGTGTCCCGTGTGGCTGCTCCCAGGTCTGGAGGTGGAGCATAGGGAGGGGGACTCGCAGTGCGAGGGGAGGAAAATGCGGCTGGCATCTGGCTGGGGGGAGGGAGGGGGGGAGGGAGGGTGCCCCTGAAGGGCTATTTATTTATTTGGTGTTTGTTTTGTTTTCTGGTGCTGGGGATTGAACCCAGAGTCTCACCCATGCTAGGCAAGCACTCATGCACTGAGCTACATCTCCAGCCCATTTTATTTTATTTTGAGAGAGTTTCCCTAAGTTACCCAAGCAGGCATTGAAGTTGAGATCCTCCTGCCTCTGCCTACTGAGTAGCTGGAATTACAGGTATATGGTACCACACCCAGCTCCAAAGGGCACTTGATTAATTGATTGATTTGTTTTGCTTTGAAATAGGGTCTTACTTCCTAGTTCAGGCTGGCCTTAAACTCGTTATGTAGCCCAGGCTGGCTTCAAACTCACCACAATCCTCCTGCCTCAGCCTCTTGAGTGCTAGGGTTATAGAATTGCATCACCTCATTGAGCCAAAGGGCAGTTGATGACTGGCCTGGCTTCCTGGTTTTCACCTGGGTGAGGTGGTCCAAGAGCATGAGGAGGATCATTAAGGAAAGTGACTCCACTGGCATTTTCTTAAAAGCTTCTTAATAGGGGTCAAGATGTAGCTTTGGTGGTAGGGCGTTTGCTTAGCATGTGCAAGGCCCTGAGTTTGATCCCCAGCACACAAGGAAGGGAGACAAGGGAGGGAGGAAGGACGGAAAAAGAAAAAAAAAGAAGACAGAGAGAAAAAAGAAATCAGAATTTCTATCATTCTATACGTGCACGGATCTCTTCATGATGGAAAAGGAGCCTTGCAGGTGGACCTAAGGAGCTGGAACTCACAGTGAAGAAGACCTGAGAACTTGCCAGCACCCACTTTCCTTTTGCGTGTTGCCCACCCTGTTGCAGACAGGGGCAATGGAGTCTCCTGAGGGACAGGAGGGAGAATGAAGGAGGAAGCTTGGCCACTGTAGTAAAGACCTGCAGGTCTTCCTCCTCCCTGAGCCTTTGGGGTTGGCCTCACCTTTGCACCTGGGTTACGAGCTTCCTTGGAAGGCAGTTACAGACTTTTGGTGACCTCTCCATGTCCAAGGTGGTCACAAAACAAATTCCTCTTCCTATTGGAAAAAATCCAACGTGCATTCTGTGCAGGGACATTCTCAAAAACCAAAGGTGCTGTCCATTTAATATGGGGCAAGAGGTCGTTTGCATCAGGGGTTATTGCAGTGCAGAGGAGATGGCAGCCAAAAGAGACCACACAGGGCAGGTCCCCTAAGGGCTCAGAGCGGGGTAGGGCAGGGCAGAAGAGAGGTCTTGAGCTGCTGTCTGCTGTAACAGTTTTGTGCATACGACTTAAAGGAAGAGGCACTCTGACCATCCCAAAGCCAGCAGCCACGGAGCACAGGGGGCCTGTCTCTGAGATAGAGCTAGAGAGAAGCATATTCGGCCCGGATTGGGATCTCGTCCATGAATTATAGCTGAAGCAAAATGCTGAAAACGAGTTTGTCTGGCATTCAGGCATTTGAGAGGCAGCGCAAGCCAAGAGGGAAATGGTCTGGTGCTGTGTTTCTCGCTAAGAACATCTGTATTTCATCTGGCATCCAGATGATGAACAGATCCAAAGAGCCAAGAGTCAAAGTGGACTTGATCCCCACATGAGTACACGTTTTTTCAACTGGACTACGCATTTTGCAAGCAGAAATCAGACTTTGATTGTTCCCCTTTGTCGAAGCGCCACAGACACCACTCTGCTTTTCCTTCGATCCCAATATAATGTTTTTTGCAGAGAGGAAGGATTTATTCCATTTGGGGCTTTCACACTAATAAGGGATGCGAGAAGCAGATAAGAATGTTTCTCATGGCTGGACAAAAGCAATAAAGTCAATGACATAGCTGCACTTTTCCATTTCTATGATCTATGAAATAAGACAGGCAGAGCATTGGCAAAGAGAAAACCTGCTTTATTCACCAAGCAAGGTGATGCCGTAGCTCAGCTTCCCTAGCATAGTTTAAACCCTGAAATGGATAATAAATGGAAAATGCATTCCAGAAAGCCTTGGGAGTATCAGTGCCAATGCCTACATCTTTCTCCTGCTTCCTTCTCCTTAAAAACAAGATTGGGAGAGGGAGTGTAACAGGAGAGTAGAAAGTTCCAGAGAGCAAGCACTAATTAGCCACACCTCTTGGATGATGGAAAGCAGATTGCAGTCATTCTGGGTCAGTTTAGAAGAAGCCCAGACAATTACAGAGTATTTATCCGAGAATGCAGTTGCCTAGGTGGTACCAGCAAGGTTTTGCTTCTTTTTGTTTGTTTGTTTTGGTACTGGGGATGGAGACCTTGTGCTTGCCAGACAGGCGCTGGAACCACTGATCTAAATCCCCAGACCAAGGTTTTGCTCTTTGTTTTAAACATATTGAAATTCAGGTAAGAAAGAAGCAAACTTCAATTCATTTCTTCACCACCACGCACGATGTTCCCCAGTGGAAACAGTCAGATCACCTTCACAGCCAAAGATTACAACACGCCCTATGACCACGGATCGGTGTGGGTTGGGAAAATATCTCCGAAATAAAAATCCTGATACTGTGGTTAACCAGGATTAGACAGAGGCAGAGGTGAAGCAGCCAGGATCCTCCCTCCATGACCGGCAGAGTGGGGCAGCTCCCACACTAGTCCACAGGCGAGGACTGCAGCACACTTCAGAGCAGCCAAGACCAAGCGACCTGCAGAGGTCCTGCTCACCTTTCTGCCCTGCCAGCGACCAAAGTCACCACTCAAACATGTGGCCCATTGCTAAAGCCCCCACCTCAGTCACTAATATATTGTGAAGATTACTTAGTCCAGTGGCTCCAAGGGGCAGAAATAAAACTAATACCACACAAACCGTGCACATCTCCAGCAGTGATGGATCTCACACCTGGTGGCACCTGGGGAAATGTCCAGGGGCAGCAGCCACAGGCACTGGGACAAGAGCGTGGCTTCCACTGGTGTCCTGGAGCCACTGCTGGGAATGGAAGTGGTTTCCTCTGCTGCTGTGAAGGCATTTGGGTTTCTTAGGTAGTCCCCCCCCCCAGCAGTGCTGCAAAGTCCTAGGGGTGATTCCTGAAAACTCCCCTGCCCACCTGTTGCACCACTGATTCAAACTATGGTACAGCAGGCTCTAATTACATGTTCCAAGGAGAAGACAACCTGCAAAACGCAGACATGGGGAATTAACTTTTCATCATTCACCACATCCTAACTGTTCATCACTCACCTATCTTCTGATCTTTATTCCTAGGCTCAGGGAAAGCCTGGAATCCCAGAGTCATTCACAAACACAAAAGCCATGCACATGTGGAGGCAAAAAGCCACCTTAATTGTGAGGAGATGTGTTGCATAATAATAACTGGACTTTAAAATCTTTAAAGATGCCATAGAAATCTGACTTTTAGAAGGACTTTATCTCTCTATGTACAGAAGGATAGAAGCGAGCCACTTACATTGACTCAAACTGATTGTTAAACATCCTGGAATTTTTTGAGTGGCTTGCCAAGCTCCTGGTGACTTGAAACCAGCTATGGCAGCAGTTCTTTACCCCACAGAAATTGGCAACACTACAAATCAAGGTTATTTTTTCTAGAAAGCTGTTTTACCAGCACATCATTGCTTTGGCCTCTCTCAAACCACTTTAAAATTCCAGTTAATGACTGAGAAACATCTCTCTAGTGGAGGTGGGCTTCACAGTTAGGCAGGCCCAGGGCTGGGAGTGCAGCTCAGTGATGGAGCATTTGCTTAGCATGCACAAGGCCCTGGGTTCAACCCCGAGCACTCCGAAGAAAAGAATAACTCTAGAGTGAGGCACACCTGAACTCAAATCCTGGCTCTGCTATTTCGTAGCAATGTGACTTTAAGCAAGATTCTCATCCTCTCTGAGCATTGGTTTCCTCATCCATAAAATGAGAGCACACAACTACTTCACAGAGTCATTTAAGAATGAAATGAGAGGATACACATGCATCCTCCAGAACATAAATGACTCTTTAAAAGCAGGTCTATCCCCTCACCCTTTGACCTGATTCATTTTAACACCTGGGACATTAGTTTACTTTCAAAGTATCATTCCCTGCCTCATAAAAGGAAGCAATTAGTGGATCTAAAGTATAATATAGGGTCTGGGGAAAATGGTAACCGAAAGAAGGCAGCAAATAATGGTGATTTGGGATGACAAATAGCCAGGTAGAGTCCTGACCTAGCTAGCATGTATATTCACAAAGTTGTTGATAGCAGCTTTATATATGATAATAAAACAACCAAAATGAGGGGCCAGTCCAAAAATGTAAGAGAATATGGATTATGATTCATACAAATAAATAGGCAAAGCATTAAAAATGATGTCTGCAAAGAATTTTAAAAGAAAATTCCTGTAAGGTATATGATATTGAAAGCAGTGCAGAGTTAGTACATAAATGTATAAATGACTACATGTGTATGTGTAATTATACTCACACATTCCATGCAAAGATGGAAAATCTATGCATCAAAGTATACAGCAGCCATTTCTGAGTGGTGGGATTATAGGTGAATTTTATCTTCTTTATCTGTTTTGCATTAAAAAAACACTTTATTTTTTTTAATAAAAAGAAGCTGTGTCCACTGCAAACCCATCTTTGGTGAAGAACCTGCCGCAGGAGCGACGAATGTGGAAAGGTCAAATCAAAAGAGGTAACAGAGAAGCAGGGAGGAGGCCGTCACTGCCAGGAGGTAGATGCTGCTTCATGGGAACCGTCCAGGACGCTGGGGGAGGGGCAGTGGGGCTGCTGAAGTCCTAAGAGAGAAGTGGAGAGAGGAGGGACCGAGAGCAAGTATTAGTGGGTGCTCACTGAGGGAAACTGAGGAAACCCAGCAGTGGAGATTTCTACAATGTACAAGGATATCCTGGGTGCGCTCAGCAGTTATACCTGGGAAAAGCTATCAAAAAAACTCTCTTGGGCCAGAGATTTAGCTCAGCGGCTCCGTGCCTGCCTTGAAAGCTCAAGTCCTGAGTTCGATCCCCGGTACCAGAAGAAGAAGGAAAAAAAGACCCTCTTGGAGCCAAGAGCAATGGGGCATGCCTGTACCAAAGCCCCTCCAGAGGCTGAGGCAGGGGGCTCACAAGTTTGGGGCCAGTCTGGGAAACTTAGCAAGACTCTATCACAAGGGGGGTAGAGGGGGCTGGGATGTAACTCCTTGGTGGAACGTTTGCCAAGCATGTAGCAGGCCTTCAATCAGTAGCACTGCAAATAAATGAGTAATGAACGAACGAATAGGAAGGTGATAAACAGTGTGAATAGTTTATATTTAAAAGAATGGAGAAGGATTGAAAGATTTTGCAGTATAGACCTTCCATCCATCTTGAACCTTGTGACTATTATATAGGTAATAAAGTAAATAAATAAAATGAAAAGAACCCTGACTTTAGCTACAGTCACTTAGTGGTTTAACTAAAGCCACTTCCAAAGGATGGACACTATACTTTCTCGGTGGAAGAGATTTCTTTCCCTTTCTTTTCTTTCCTTTTAGAAGTCCTGTCCAATGTAGAATTTCTGGAGTGGATAGAAAGGGAAACTATCATTAAGGTCAAATTTTATTTGTTCAGGTTAACTAATCTTTTAATGTAGCTGTAGGTGGAGAATGAAAATTGTTGTGAACTGCTAGTGCAGAGCTCCCTCTGGTGGACATATTTGGGCATTGCGGAATTCTACACATTTTATATATAAAATATAGCCAAAATGCAAAATATATGCAATTATGAATAATACGTATGTGTACGTATACACTTTTCATAAATATGAAAATTAATTAAAACCCATGTGAAAATATGAACTTTTAATACAAAATGAAATTTTAAAAATCAGCCAGTGGCCTGAACACGTTTTCAAGGCGCTCACTATGGTGAATATTATTATGTTATCATCCTTTGAACAACTTCTCTCGCCCACTCAGCAAGCCCCTTGTCTGAGAGCTTTCTGGTGACTTCTCTTGTGGGCTAAGTGACTTTCTCAGGTGGAAAGGGGCCTTAGGGAACAGAATCGGTCATGTTGAGGGACCACTTTTATGTCAATAGCATGGCAAACGTGGCTCTGTGTGTGGCCGAGCCCTTAGCAGATTCTCCCTCCTGGGTGGGGAGGTACACCCATCCTTAGCTTTTGTCATATACTGAAAATCCAGGGGAATTTTTTTCTCTCCAAACTAGGAAAAAACCAGCGTGGCAGCCTGGGGAATGTTATGTGTGTGTGTACATCATTACATTTGCACGTGTATTATATATGCATACGTGTATTGTATTTTTATGTGTATATGAGTACATACCTACATATCGACATCCACACCTATATCTACGCTTTTACCCATAAGGGCCAAGCCAGGCCTCTTGGTGCCAACCCAGGTAGGAAAGCAGAGGAAAAGGACGGGGCAATAAAGAAGCCTCCACAATGGCATGGGAAAGAGGACAGGAAGCAGATGGAGTCACTGGTACTGAGCCACTGTTCTAAGCATTTCACACGCATGTTTTGTTCAGTCTTCACAACATCCCTGTAAGGAAGGAAGCATCTCCTCTCATTTCAGAGACACAGAAAGTAGGGCTCAGAGAGTGTAATTGCTGTAGCCATGGTTACCCTACTGGGAAGAGGCGCAGCTGGGATCTGAAGGCAGGTGTGACTGGAGAGCCTTCCCCACCTCACCAACTCCCAGGAAGCGAGGCAGGAAGCCGAGAGAGAGGGAGAGAGGAATGGGGTGGTGATGGAGGGCGACAATGGACACCAGCCACTGCCTGTGTGTCAGGTTCACTCAGATCACCTGTTCTACGCTGCAACTTCTCTTTCTAATTTCCCGTGCAAGTAGCCTGCTTCCTGAGCCTCAGTCATAATCTCAACATGCACTGATCGAGGGAGGCCAGACAGGCTTCTCCATGTGTCTCTGAAATCCTCCTGTGGAGCTGGAGGAAGGACTTCCTGGAAAAGCCCACTGGGCAGATGCTCTTGGAAAGAAGAGGAGTACATGCAGTGTGTGCAAGTCAAAGATGCGTCCACAGGGCGGGGGGCAACTGCTGAAAACCCAGCCAACCAGAAAGCTCATGGCTGGCTGATTACTTCCATGTGTAGCAATCCTCTGGGACAAATGTAAGGCGAGGTGAATTTAGGTTGTATTCCATAGTGGCTACTTTGAAGATCACATGGCCCAAACTTTGACCAATAATGTAATCTGTTTTTCAAAGAAAAAAAGAGAAAACAGATTTGTCTATGGGAGGCACAACGTGCTCTCAGTGATCCCTTCAGAGTGAAGAGAAGTCATCCTTTAAGAGTCTTGGCAAAGAAGGTGGCTGGTGACTTACGGACTCATTTGTGAGCGTATACGCACAGACACATGCTCAGACACATCTTGGACCTATGAAAAAACTAATATTTGCTGGTTCACATATTCTCATAGTTTTTAAGACCATCCTGTAAGATGCCACTTTCCCGATCCTTGCAAGGTACCAACTCCCCATGGTGAACGTAAACGTTATGTACTACAAACATGTACTACAAAAAATAAAAATTAAAAAAATAAATTTACCCAATGTTTCCATTGGGTGGCAACTCATGGTTTAACATGGTTCCTCAACAAATAAAATACAATATATTTTATGCTTATAATAATGTTTTCCAAAAGATAAAAAATATGAGTAAAATCTACATAATGGAAATGGACAAGTGCCCACAGTTAGCTAAGGTAAAAGCAAAGAGATTCTATTTGGGTCAGGAAGGAGGGTGAGATTATCCACAAGGTCCTCCCAAAGCTAACACTGTGAGCCTGCTCCAAAGAGAAGTCTGACTTGTTTCTTTGCCGTACAGATGTTTTGAGAAAACATCAGCCCTGTCATTCTTCTTGTGAAACGTGCAGTGGATCTACAACTCGATGTACTTCATGTCCAAAAGGTCAGTGTGGCATGTGGCAGAAAGTGGCAGCAGCCAGGCTGAGTCATGTCACTCCTGCGTGTCAGTATCTTTGTGTACAGTGGTTTGTGGACCCTCATGCTGGTGCCATTCTCGTCACAGTGTCTGCGTGGAGACACCCAGGGACCCACACACCGATCAGTAATAAACACCGGCTTTCAAATGAGAAAAAGTTTCTTAACCAAAAAGCATGGTGAGCTTATAGTTGACTTGGCCACAGAATTTGGTAGGTTCTGTGGGGACTTGATACCTTTGAGATTCCCTCGCTCTTTTTAGATGCATTATCTAAAATAAGAGACCTTAAGGTAGAGATTGTGAGTGTGGACAAAAAGCCTGTGTGTCTTTCCTGCTTCATTTTAGTACTGAATGGGACTGAACTTAGGGTAGGGGGAAGAGGGAACAAAGTCAACAGCATAACAGCTCAATAAATCATCACTGTCCTCATTACAAAAACATTGTAAATACCATAACTTCTCTGAAATAAAAGGCTGTTTTATTTGCATGGTGCAGTCACATAAATAATGGTATGCCTCATTAGTGATCACTGTGAAGGCCATTCTGGAACATGTAACGTTAGTATAGTGGACCCCATATGCATAGGATATGTTCCAAGACCCTCAGAGGAGGCCTGAGACCCTCCACAGTACTGGACACTGCATATACTATTCTCCTATACATTCCTATGATAAGGTTTGATTTATACATTAAGCACAGTTATGAGATGAACAACTAATAAAGTAGAAAAATAATAACAGTATACTGTAATAAAAGTGATTGATGAATTTTTATATCTGGAGTTTTCCATTTAATATTTTGACCTCCAGCAACTGAGCTGTTGGGAAGTAAACCACGACTAAGGGAGCAATAGTGTAGTGAGCTAGGATGTAAAGCAATAGTAGCACATGGGCCAAGATTTAAAATGATATATGGAATTTAAATAAAACACGGGCCAAGATTATAAGCATATAAAATATAAAACTCCACACCAAAAATCTGAAAGAATTTTCTTGGAATTTTGGAGTTAAAGACGATTTTAAAATTGGTTTCTTTGACACCAACATCTGTTGTTGTTTTTTTGATTAAATAAAGAGGTGCCCTGTCTGTTAGAGGCAGAGGTGGTTACAAGGGCTGCTCTGGGGTCAGTTCCCTCACCAGACAGGGCGGAAGGCAGAGAGAGCAGCCTGGATCCAGCTGTGCACATGGCTGCCTCACGGCTGGAAGAGCTAGACAAGGATGTCAGGGAGACTGACCGAGTGGGCAGTGGGGAGCTGCCGTGACCACATCTACTATTAGGAGGAAGTGAAAGACACATGGCCAAAGCCTGCTGCTCTTGATTTCCTTTCTGAACGGCTAACTCACCCTGGAAGCCTTGGCATCACTAATAGCTGTTTTGGTAAACCTGAAGCCTGTTGGAAACTTTCCATCGGAAAGGTTTAACGCAGCCATCGTACATGTCAGCGAGACACGAGGACCCGTGTGGAAGAATGTGTGGTGACCATTCTCTGCCTTCTTCCTGGATTTCTAGGTGCATATCTGTTGGCCCAGGCCTGTGTTTCCTCCTGTCCCCAAGGCATGTGGCCCTCAGTCAGGAGTGGCAGCTGCGAGAACTGTCCAGAGTACTGTGCCTCTTGCTCTGGGGATGATCTTTGCATGAAGTGCCACACTCAGCCGGACCAGGTTCTCTTCCTGCACGAAGGCAGATGCTACCACAGCTGCCCTGAGTAAGTTTTGTCTTCCGTTTGCTTCTGGTCCTGTGTAGTCTCCACAATAGCTTTCAAGCCATTCCTTTCTGCTTGCAAAGAGCTCTCCCTCTTGATTAGAGTGTCCACTAAATGTCCTTTGCTGGCTCTCATCTCCTTTAGTAACAGCGGCTGACTCTTACTAAGGCTGGATGCCCCCTTCTCCCTGTGCCTATTCTATGCACGTGCCTTACCTTTGTGAAAATACCACCATGCCTTGTGCATTGCACAATAATGGGGCCAGTTTCCTAGAAATGCATTGTCAGCCAGTTTTGTCTTGCAGACCCCAGAGAGTACCACACACACCTGGATGTTGCACAGAGGCTGTGGTTATCCCGTCCCACACCAGATCCACCACTGCCCACAACATCGTGATCCGTGCATGGCTGTGTTCTTTTTCCACCTCCTATTAATGATCAAGTGTGTCTGTTTTTTCCCCCACCATCACAAAAATAAGACGATGAGATGAAAGTACAGTTTCAAATAGGCGCATTAAGAATTGAAAATAACAGATAGACAATAGCATTGGTTTAGCTGTTTATGGACTCCGCGGTTTCCTCACTCCCTTGGTTTATAATGCCTTTAGTCTTCCCATCAACCCTCCCTCCACCAGGATTTCCCTGAAAGAAAAGCAAGGAGCAATGGAAAGTACATCCGGAAACTTCCAGCAGTAAGTAAAAAACCAAGCAAAATGACCCAGACCATAGCAGCCCTTCTTATCTTCTGTCACAAGAAGTTAGAAAAATCCAGGCTTGGATTTTTTTTGAGCCCCCAGGTCCCTAGAAACCCTGGGTCTTCCCATCTTGCTCTTGTTCCTTAGCTTGTCCTCTCCAGCTGGCTCCTCTTTTGCCTCCCTTCCAAATGTCCTCACCCACATCTTCACAGCCAGAGGCAGAGAAAGGGTTGTTTCTCTATTTTGCTCCCTTTTGAGAGAAAAAAAATTTCCTCAGACTTCCCTCTTAGCCAGAATGCATCCTTTATGTCTCCTCATCCTGTCTGGCAGGAACAGTGCACAATCGTCTCTCCTTAGCCCTGGGACACACAGTCCAAGACCCCTCTGTGGATGCTACTGAATGCTATGTGTAAGTGCACTGTTTTTTCCTCACACATACCTACATGCACACCTATGGTAAAATTTAACTTGTAAATTAGGCAAAGGAAGAGATTAACACTAACAATAAAAGTAGAACAATTATAACCATGTAATTAAAGCGCTCTCTCTCTCTCTCTCTCCCTCTCTGTGGGAGGTTGCTGAAGATTGAACCTAGAGCTCTCTCACTGAGCTACATCCCCAGCCCTTTATTTTTTGTTTTAAGGTCTCACTAAATTGCTAAATTTCCCAAGCTAGGCTCAAACTTGCAATCTTCCTGCCTCAGCCTCCCAAAGTGCTGGGATTGTAGGTGGATTATACCACTCCCAGCTCTCACCTTCTTGTGAGGATATGAGATGATTCAGTACCTGTGTGATGAGATGAAGGAAGTTGAATGGTGTAGGCATTGTGACACAGCTTCAGGCTGCTACATAAGGGTAACACAAGCATGGGATGCCACTGATACTGTCACAGCCAATCAGTACCAGAAACTGCTACTAACAGGCTGGTGTCATATACAGTGTGGATACACTGGATGAAAGAACAATTCACATCCATAGCAAGATCTCACACCACTCAGAATGGTGCACAATTAAAACGTATGAACTGATTACTTCTGCAATTTTACATTCAATATTTTTAGACTTGATTGGCCCAAATCAACTAGAAAGAAAATCTGAAATCTCAGAAAGCAAAACTGTAGATGCAAGGGGAGGCTACCATACAAGGACTGATTTAGGCTGAACCCTGATTCACCCCTGACGTGCCAACAAAATCAGAACACCAACAGCCAAGAACAGGAGAGGGAGGCAAGAAATTAATTTGGACAAGCAACAAACAGTTGCTATTTTAAGAAATTAGAGATTTTAATTGCCTTCTCATTAAAGAAATTTTATGATAAAAGAAACATGTAAGTAACCCCAGCACTTTGGGAGGCTGAAGCAGGAGGATCACAAGTTGTAGTCAAGCCTGTGCAGCTCACCAATTTAGCAGGACTCTGTCTCAAAGGTGGGGGATCAAGTTCAATATGAAGGCAGTGGGTTCACTCCCCATAGCACAAAAGATAGAAAGAAAGAAAGAAAGGAGTTTTCTAATAACCTATTTACTTACTATATGCATTATCGAGATAGACTGCACAGGATAAAAACCTGAGCCATGGTACTTACCTTCAAGCAACATCCAATCTAGTAGATAGAAGCTAAGCACATTCAAGTCATCCAAGTCCCTTGCAGATAGCATATTTATCCCCCTCTAGGTGTAAGAATTGATGTTGATACAGTATCAACATATTATGTTGTATATGCACAGCCTGGGAAAGTCTATTTTTCTACCAAGAATTGATATTGGTATTGAGAGCTAACTGAAGATCACGTGAAGGCATCTGAGCATGCAAAAGGCTTCCAATCCAGCAGGCAAACTTCACCTCAGTCAATGCCATGCTTCTCATGGGCCTGGTACAAAAAAAGACCAAGAGATCCCGAGGAGAAAGAAATTATTTTGAAACAGCTACTTTTTGTTTGCTTGCTTGTTTTTGAGTGCTTGTGCACTTTGCTATGAGCTTCAACTGTACAATCCCATCAATCTTCACAAGGATCCTCTTAGTCATTATTTCCCCCTATTTTACAGATGAGGAAAGAGTAATGTGCCCAATAGTGTATATGTAATAAAACAAAAGTGAAGATTAGAAATCTGCTTACCAAAGCCAGTCATTGTGTCCCCATCAATCTTTGCCATACTGGGATTGAAATAGTTGTGAATAGTATTCCTTATTACTCGGTGAAGTGACACACACCTGTAATCTCAGCACTCAGGAGGCCGAGCCACGAGTTTGAGGCCAGCTCAGGCTCCATAGTGAGTTCAAGGCCAGCCTGAACTACAAAGCAAGACTCTGTCTCAAAAACAAAACAAAAAAAAACGCTTATTTAATCCTTGCCACTTTTTCCCAACTTGTTCCTGGATTTTTCAACATAAGAATTGACAATGCATTAAAACAAGGAAGAGATGCATTTGGCTTTCCCCCCAGTTAGTGGGTGTATTAGTTACTTGTTTCTCCTGTTTTGAATAGAATGTTCTGATTACAGTGGGGTCCCCGCCTTTGTATTTTTAAGAGAAACAAGGAGGAGATAATCTGGAACATATAATATTCAGCTTGTCTTGGGAGGCTTTGTTGTTATTTCTGAGAAATAACAACATCCATCCTAGAACAGCAGGAAGACCTGTAATAGGAGCACACCCTGTAATGAGCAAGCATCCAAGTACTCAGAACTGCTCATCACTCAGCTTTCATGACGACTGCTCTTTCAAATACGGTAGATGTTTACCAAGCAAAGAAGTTTGAGTGTAATGTAGACCATTCTTGTGATTGTTTAAAAAGCAGACAAACAAAACAAAAAACCAACCTAAATTGTGTTCAAATTCACCAAATATGAAGAAATGAGACTCTAGTGGAAGAGAAATAGTCTTCTTTGAAGCACTGGAAGCACTGTCTTGGGATCTGTACAATGCAGGTAAAGCTGTAGAGCCATACAGCTTTCACAATGTACTTAGCTAGGCCCTGGGTACTTTGAATTGAACAATTTAATACATGTGGTCATTTCCTTTCAAATGAACTATGTGTCTCCTTAAATAGAAATAATAGTGAAATAAACCATTAACAAAACATTTTATAAGTGCCAGCACAGTTCTTTGTGAAGAAGGCTGATTTTAGCAAAATAGCTCTCTGAAAAACACCACCTGAAAACTTGTGTTCACACAAACCTGCACATGGATGATGATGACGATAGCAACTTTGCTCATAATTGCCAAACTGTGGAAGCAACAAGGATGGCCGTCACACTCCTGAGAGAGTCACTTTATAGAGAGGAAATGTTTGGCTCATGGTCTTGGTTGTTCCACCTCAGGATGAATTGGCCCACTGTTTGGGGCCTCTGGCAAGGCCACACATTGTGGCAGGCACATGTGTCAGGGAAAAGCTACGACTTTCTTGGCAGGAAGCAAAAAGAGAGAAGAGGAGGAGACGGGAGTTCTATGGCCCACTTCAAAAGTGCATCCCCAAAGACCTAAAGAGCTCCTCCTAGGCGCCCCAACTTCCTAAGAGCACCACCATGGAAAGCACGCCTTTTATACACAATCTCTCAGGATACAAACTACAGTAGTATGTGAATGGATAAATTAAATGCATTATCTAATGTTAAAGATAAATTGAAGCACATTAAAATATTAAGTTTATTTGAGCTTTCCATGATTCATAAGTTGGATAACACCAGCCTGCAAGAGGTTCAGTGCCCCACTGTGGAATAAGAGGAAACCTTTATAAGATGTTCATGGAAACAAGACAAAAAATATATGTTTAACTGGTTAAAGTGAGATGTTCCTACTCAGAGGTTAGTTGGTGGTTTCTGATTGGTTAAGCTTTTATTATGTACATTGGTTTCAGTTTGTTTACTTGGGAATACAAGGTGCTGGAGCTCTCCAGATGTAACGGCCTCCCATTAAATTGTTTTTAATACAAGACAGCAGAATATTTTCAGCACTAAAAAGAAATGAGCTATCAAGCCATGAAAAAGCAAGGCAGTGCCTTGAATGTACATTACTAAGTGAAAGAAGTCAGTCTGAAAAGGCTACATGCGTGCCATATGATTCCACCCACTACATGATATTCTGAAAAAGATAGAACTATGGAGACAGTAAAGAGGTTACTGAGAGAAAAAGATTACTAGGCAGAGCACAGAGGATTTTAAGGCAGTGAAATTACTCTGTATGGTGTTATAATGGTGGTACATTCACTATACTTTTATATAACTGCATAGAATGTGCAGCCCAAGAAAGAGCCCTAATGTAACCTGTGGACTCTGGTTGACCAGTTGACCAGTTGATCAGTTGCAACAAATGGCCCACTCAAGTGGGAGCTGTTGATCATGGAGGAGATTGCATATGTAAAGGGTGCATCAGAAATCTCCGCAACCTCCCCTCAACTGTGCTGTGAACTCAAAACTGTCCTAAAAAAATGAAGTCTATAAAAACAATTTTTCATACTGCCTCTGGCTGCCTCCCAATAGCTTCCACTATGCACTTATTTTTGAGTTAACAGTAAACTTCATTTGGTTTCTTTTTCCTTTTTGCTTGAATTCATGCCTTTCATTTCAGCATTTCATCCCTAATCTTCTGGGTCTTTCCTAATAAAAACCTGAAGATTTATCCATGATGCATGTTTTCAGTTTCTATGTAGATTTGCTCTTCTTTAGTGTCCAAAAACTACAGAGATTCCTCAGTATCCCCAGAGGATAGGTTCCAGGACAGCTAAATCCTCTCTATGGAATGGCTGCGTATTTGCATATAACCTGTGTACAACCCTCATCATCTCTAGATCACTTACAATATGTAATTCAATGCAAATGCTATGGGAATAATTGGCATGCTGCATTGTTTAAAGAATAATGCCAAGAAAACAGGCTGTCCATGATGAGTATGGACACACCCAAACTAATCTGAGCTGTGTAACACATGACCTGTGGTTGGTTGAATCTGCTAATATAAACCCTGCCTGGACAAAAGGTCAACTACAGTCAGAGGCCCCGGCCAGCCTCCCATTGGAAGTTCCCTGAAGACTGTGCTCAGACCATGTGGCCCAAAGGCCTCACCTTCTGAAGTCGGGTTGGTTTTTCTCCAGTGGCTTGTCCCCACCCTAGGACTACCACTGGTGTGGCTGTTCTACCTTCAGTTGTCAGTTGGACCAGGTAGCCCTAAGGAGCTCATCATGACTGAGCAAGGCATTCCTATCACTGGAGACATCGCAGGGGTTAGAGATTAGCTGGCAAGAAAGGCAGATCTCTCTTCCTGTGACTCTCAAGCTTCTTAGTACTACATAGAGGAACAACTAATCTATCCAATTTTTATCCACATAAACAATGTGCTATGCTTGACAACAAGCTACATTTCCTTAGTTTCAAAGTTCTCAAATCCAGTCAAATTTCTAGGGTTGTCAAATTGGTTTTGAACACAGACTTGGTTGGACAAAGTAGATGAGTATTTGCTCTCTATCATGGTCATAAAAAGCTAAAGATGTTAATACTGTATGTGAGGGAATCTGATCTCCGCTTTCCTCTGGATATTATTCAGCTCCTTTTCTTCTACCTCAGTTGCTTTCTTCTTTCATATTTCTTCCTTCATCCCTCATTTAAAATGTGTGTGACTTTTGGGCCAGGGATGTAGCTCAGCGGTTCCACCACCTGCCTCGCAAGAGCAAGGTCCCAAGTTCAATCCCCAGTACCAAAAGAATAATAATAAAATAAAATGTGACTTTTAACTGAATGTGGGACTACACACCTATAACCCCAACACTCTGGGAGGTTGAGGCAGGAGGATCAAGCCCAGTCTGAGTAATTTAGCAATTTAGCAGGACCCTTTCTCAAAATAAAAAATAAAAGCAGAGCTGGGAATGTGACTCAGGCTGAAGACCCTAAATTCAATCCCCATTACTGCATTAAATAAATAAACAAATGCATGTTTGAAAAACATGGCTTTTTATTCCCTCTTGTCTTATTTCTTCCTGGCATAACTCAAAGAATTTTTTTGTTTATTTGTTTCTTTTGTGGTTCTGAAGACTAAGTCAACCCAGGTGCACTACCAGTGAGATAAGTCCTCCACCCTTTTTATTTTTTATTTTGAGACAAGATCTCACTAAGTTGCCCAGGCTGGCCTCACGCTTGTGATCCTCTTGCCTCAGGCTCTCAAGTAGCTAGGATTACAGTTGTGCATGACCAGGCTAGCCTCAAAGGACTTTTGTTTACTGAATGAATGCAATAAATAAATGACTAAAGAATGACTAAACGTATCGCAGTTAATTCACAAGTAAAACATTGAATAAAAATGCTACACAGGAGCATCAAAATTAAAGAAGATTCTGCTGGTTTTCATTCCCTGTTGCATTTCTTCACCCTTCCCAGTGACCATGCTTACTTCCACCTGCAACTTTATGGTAACTCTGTGTAGAAGCAAAATGGATTTGACTTCCCTACCTCTGGGTTTGGGGCTGGGTCATGTGACTTGCTTTGGCCAATGGGATATTAGCAAAGATAGGCAGCAGCTCCCAATTTGCCCAGTGGATTTGGTTGTGCAGGCCTTTAATCCCAGCATTCCAGAGGCTGAGGCAGGAGGATCACAAGTTCAAGGCCAGCCTGGACTGCATAGTGAAAACCTGTCTCAAAAAACAAACAAACAAACAAAATTGAAACAAAAGAACAACAAATATGCCTAGTGGAGGAGCCTTCTTTCTTGGACTGTCTATGAGAAGCAACAGCCCAAGGTCTGCTGATCCCAAGAGTCCCTTGCCCTGGAGAAAGTGGAATACAGGGAGTTGTGCAGCCTGGGTTGCTGCCCCACGGGAGTGAGAGATGAGAGTGGCTTTAGCCTGGAGTCTGAATGGAGGTGGTTTGTTCCACAGCTCTGCTGAGGCAATGCGGAATAATAAAAGGATAATTGTGGGGAACAATTGGAACGAGCAGCTGTGACTCCATTCTCTCTGTTGGCGTAGGATTTCCCTGCTTCTGCAAGCTCCAGCTCTTCCCTTCAGCTTTCCCCTTCAAAGACACATACATCCTTCACACTTCCTCATCTCCTCCCTCTGTTTGAGCGGGCCGGGGTTTCACAGCTACAGGGTTCACACACCACGGAGCGATTCCTGCGATCCCCTCAGTTGACCACCCGGAAGTATATTAGAGTCCACCTGGCAGAAAGTCAATTGCACAAACACAGAGCTGCAATAACAGACACTCAAGAGATGTTTAGTGCTGGGAGCAAATGCTTATAGGTATGCACTGGAAATGAGCCGGCAGAGGTTGACAATCCGAAAGCAAAAGGAACCCCAGTTTTGTAAGGTGTTAGCCCTTTTGAGCTTTGTGAAAATATTTTTAAACTGGATTAACTGTTTTAAAAGTTCTTATTAAACTGAATAAAAGGTATTTTTCTAAGACTAAGAAGTAATCGTAATTAGGGGATAGAGAAATAGAGAAATCAAAAAATAGAAAAATCAGAAGATAATTAAATTATATACAAATTAACAACTTTTTTAAAAATAAAATTCACAAGAAGCACACTTATCTTTTCAGTTTTATTTTTCCAGATATTCTCTCTCTTCTTCCCTTCCTTCCTTCCTTCCTTCCTTTCTTTCTTTCTTTCTTTCTTTCTTTCTTTCTTTCTTTCTTTCTTTCTTTCTTCTCCAGTACCAGGGATCGAACTCAGGACCTTGCGCTTGCCAGGCAGGCATGATGCCACTGAGCCAAATCCCCCAGCAAAATGTTGTTTTTCTTAATTAGAACATGTTTGCAGTACGTGCCATGCTTTTAACTACCCTTCCTCAGCATTTCTGATGGATTCACTTGTTTGACAACAGCAGCAGCCCTCGGGATTTGGTCCTCATTTGCCTGCTGCCAGGCAGGGACTGTGTCTTTCCTTGACAGCTTCTCCCTTGTTTTCTCCTTTCTAACACAGGGGCTTTTATGAAGAAGGTGACTCCTGTGAGCGCTGTAGCTCTCCTTGCAGAGCATGTGAAGGAAATGCCACCAAGTGCCACTCGTGTGAAGACGGTTTTGTCCTGGCCCAAGGAGTGTGCCTAGGAAGCTGCCCGGAGAGGCACGTGGCTGTGGAGAGAGTGTGCGAGCCCTGCCCAGAGAAGTGTCAGGACTGCATCCATGAGAATGTGTGCAAAGGTACCCAGGAGCATCACAGCGGGGAGCTGCCCTAGCTGGGGCCAACCCCCTGAGGCTGGGTGTGGAGGGGGTCCATGAGAATCATCCATCTCTACCGTTACGAAGTCTGACTAACTCCATGACCACCACTGAAGAAATTAAGGGTCAGATATGCTCTTTCTACTATGCATCCTGCAAGCCACGTGGAACACTGTTTCTTACACACACATACACACACATGAGGAGTGTATGCCAAGCACTATCCTAGGTGCTAGAGATACAGGTAATAACCCGAAGTCTGCACTCTGAGCGCAGAATCTTACAGGAGAGATTGGTAATAAACAACAAAAGATGGAGATGGCTGGAGAAATACAATTGTTATAAAAAAGAAAAAGGGAAAGGCAAGTTCAGGCAACTATGAGACTGAGAATAGCACTCTGGCTATGAACAAGCTTTTTTTCTCTGGAATTATCTCCCAAGAAAAGCTATCCAACTTCCTCTTCTAAATAAGACAGACTCACTTTTACCTGGTGCTGTCCTATCCAATTATTCTTTTGGTGTGACCAGGATTCCCCCCTAAAATAAGAAAAGGAACATGAAGAAAATAAACCCACAATACATTGGTTTACTCAATTAATGAGTGAAAAGTTAACAAACCCACTAATTCTTAACTGCGTTTTGTATTAAATACAGCCTGAGGTGCTTGGTACAGTTTTAAATATCTGTTAAATATTGTTCAGGTTATCTGAATAATTCCTGCAGCCTTTGCATCTCGGTGGTGTGGATCATTTCAGCACACAAATTCAGGTCATGTGACAGGCCACTCTGTGTGGCTTCCTTCCCCCAGGGAGGGCCTATTAGACAGTGAGAATGTGCCCTGGGTGGGGGGGGAGGTAAGGATGGGGCAAATGTATACTCAGGTGAGAAGAGCCAACATGAAGAGATTTAAATGGGCTCTCCCAGGGCAAAGGTCCTGAATTTCTTTCTCCAACATGCTGAGATCACTTGCTACCTCTTCCTTCCCCCAGAGTGCATGCCTGACTTCTTCTTGCTCCATGGTATGTGCCACCAAACCTGTCCCGGAGGCTTCTACCCTGACTTGCATCAGTGCATCCTCTGCCATAAAGACTGTCAGCAGTGCAGTGGCCCCAAGGCAGACGACTGCGAGCTCTGCTCCGACACCTCCGCGATCCTCTACAATGGGCTGTGTGTAGAAGTGTGTCCAGAGGGAACATACTATGAAGAAGAGGCCGAGGAATGCAAAGGTAAAGATTTCCAGGGTCCCGGCAAAGCACAACACCCCGGGGAGCCTGATGAGACAGTTTCTGCCAAGACAAAACAGGCCCTGGGTTCCAATGCAGTTTCAGCACCAGAGCTGTTGTCCTGTCCTAAGCTTCCCACTCAAGGAAGCTGAATTTGAATCTGTTCTAATTAATTTGAAATGAATCATTCCTACTCTTTGATCATGCAGTTTCATTAGTTATACGTCCCCAGACCCTCTTTCTAGTGTGGGTAACAGTAAGGATTCTCACGTGAAGATTTCCAGCACAGAGGATGAACTCTCAAGAGCTGATCTAAGTGCAAGATTTTCTTAAAATTGTAAGCCACTCTGAGTTCATCACATGAGCACACTGTGCCATAGAAGGATTTTCTCATCTTCCTTCATGGCATCCTTGCCACCTTCAGCCCATAATGCCACCTCCCACTTGGGACTTCATTCCCTACGTGTTCAAGAAACAACCTGTATTATTTACACCTCCTTACATTTTAACTGGTTGTGGATTCTTTGCCTCTTGGAGGCAAAGAGTTATCATGGAGCAGAAACATAAAACAAATTGTCCATCAATAGAGGAATTCTCCAGCAAAAGAGGGAGGCGTTCTTGGGGAAGGACTTTCCAAAGCCCAAGATGGCTTCTTACATCTTCCTGAGGCACTGGGCAGAACTAGCAAGCATATTTGCTAAGAACCTAGATTCAGCTCTTGATCCTACAAACCTTTTCCTGTTTATTTAGCTGCAATTTCCTAATCCAAATAAAATGAGATGATGGTGATGGGAATGACTCTGTGCACCTGTCAGTATGGGGAATGCTTTACGGGGCCTCTATGTGCCATGTGCTTTTCTAGAGGACAAGACAGACACAATTCCCGCCCTCATGGAGCTCACACCGTATTGAGGAAGACAGACACTAAAAGAAGATCAGTTAGAGGGAAAAAGGAAAACAAGACAAGAAAGGGGATAGGAAGATGCGGAAGGTGGTGAGGTGGGGCAGAAACTGGAGAGAAGACCTGGATGTTGTCCCTACGAAAGGGAAGGAGCAATGTGAGAATGCACATGCGTATGTCTGGGAGGAAGCACTAGGTAGAGGAAGGGACACCCGCTAAAAACCTTGGGCTGGGAGTGAACTGTTCCTATTTTATTGTCTAACAAATATTTATGGAGTGCTTGCTTGATATGCCAGCCCCTCTCCTAGGCACTGTGCATTCATAGGCACAAGAAGTCTTTTCTGCCAATGGCAATTATAATGTAGTGCACTGACAGTGGGGCGAAGGAAGGGCCATGGCAACAGGGGAATGATGAAAAGCCACACGCTAGTGTGTGACTGTGCTGCGCAGAATTGCTTGTCATTACTTTGTTGCCATGAGGTAATTACAGAAACAGCATTAGTCTTTCTGAGGTGGTCATCACAGGGAGGAGCTCTCTGGATATTGCAGAGAAGGGAAAACAGCCATTGTTTTCTCATTTTGCAATGGGAATGGTCCACCCAAAGCTCAACTCATGACCCCACGCCCTTGCACAAAGCCCAGAAGCCTCCAGGAGGAAGAATTCCCTCTCATTCTGCTCCCCCACCACATCTGCAGCTTGTCACGAGTCCTGCCATACCTGCTCGTCACCCAGGATCTGCACAACCTGCCGGGAAGGCCTGCAGATGAACAGCCGTGGCACCTGCGTGGTTCACAAGGAATGCGCTGCCGTCGAGTACTGGGATGAGGTCGTGCACAGGTGCAAGCCCTGTCACAGGAGCTGCTTCCACTGCACGGGGCCCGCAGAGGACCAGTGCCACAGCTGCCCGAGGAGCAGCCTTCTTCTCAGTGAGTCGCTTTTTCCCTGGAGGGCTCTGTTTTGTTCTCCTTCTGGGAAGCCACCTGGCACAATGCTTGGTACCCAGGGGATGTTGGCTTCTTTATCTGTACATTTTCTTTTGTTTGGAAAATTTCCAAACCTATAGAAAGATTCAAGTGTGAGAATAGCGCAGAGAACATCACACATATGTCCATTGCGCAGTGCATTTATTGCAAATCTTTTACCCCCTTACATCATGGTCTCTGACCCACAAACACTTTACTACTGCTTAAGTATATTAATACTTTCTTACAACCCCAAGATAGTTGTCAATTCTAATAAATTTACATTGATGCAATACCTTAATATTGCATTATTATTCTTACTACAATTTTTTTTGCCAACTTCCTTCTGTAATAGGGTTGAGTCTAGGTTTAGCTTCCATGTTTCTAGCCTCCTTTAATCTGGACCATTTCCAGGCTGCCTCTGACATTTTGTTTGTTTGTTTTTGTTATTGTTTGTTTTGTTTGGGAGGCAGGGTATCCTTATGTCACCTGTGTTGCCCAGGCTGGTCTCAGATTCATGGTTCTTCCACAGCCTCCCGAGCAGCTGGGTTTCAGGCACGTGCCACCATGCCCTACTTGTCTTTGTCTTTGTCTTTGTCTTTCATAACGCTGATGCTTGAGTAGAATGCAGTCCCTGGCCCTCTGCCTGGGCGGCTGTGCAGTTTCCCCATGATGACAGCAAGTGAGTATGTGCGTGCCCTGCTGGAACAGCTGCCCTCTGCCAGTGCTCTCTGCAGGTGCCTGACAGCCACCTCTGTCTCATCGTGCTCTTAATGCTGATGGTCTTGTCAAGGTGTTCAATTTCTCCACTGAATAATTGCCACTGATTCCATTGTAATTAGTAAGCAGTCGGTGGGGAGTCGCCTTAAGAACATATAGATACTCAGCTCCTCATCAAAATTTCCCCTTGATTTGCATCCATTCCTCAATAATTCTTGTTGGACAAAGTGCGGCCCATTCCAAGGTCAGCTGCTGTCAGCAGATCCGATCTGAAGGTGACTGCTAGGATGAAGCACAGCAGGAGTAGGCTCAAGACAAGCATGGGAGACAGAGGCAAGATGAAACTCAACTCAACTGAAAGAAGAGGCTGTGACAGAAAAAAAGAAAGAAAAACATGGGCAGGGCTAGATCCCGTGAGACTTGTCCCCAGTCACTAGGGAAGACCTGAGAAGTGAGGCATTCGAAGTTGAAGTATGTGGCAGGTTTTTCTCTCCTTGCTGAGGTACCATCAGCAAGGGCCCCATTCTCCTGAGGAGACACAGGAACACCCACCCTTAATTCCACCCCTGAATCTCCCACAAGAGAAGACGCTGGAAGACACCAGCCTTCCCTACTAATCCGCCTCAGCTCCTGCTGCACAAAACCCAGGGAACCTCCTCCCAACAGTTGCTTCTTCATGAAAATATTTCTTCTGAACAAATCTCCCCTATCATGCCACCCCTGCTTTTCTAATTATCCCCAGTAGAGAATACCACCAGGGGTCATTTCACATGCCTTCACACGGAGAGGAAGAAATCTCTTTATGACAAGATCTTCCTATCAATGGAGAGAGGAGTGCATGCAAATTAAGCTAGAACCGAGACCTCAGCTCCAGTGTATCATACAGAGAGGTGTCCCTAAGGGCTGGGTGCAGGACTTGCCCAGGCCTGGGCTTCTCACGCTCTGTCCCATGTGACCATATCACCAGTCAGGTTATTTAAAACGAGATAATTTTTTGGATTTTGTGGTATACTGCATAACACTGAAGACAATTCACGTCTTCCCCTATCTTGTAAAGCTATTACCCTGGGTGCTAAAATGGGCTTTACAGCTGAGTTTTAATGAGGAATCTTGGCATGAAGGGATTACCCTGGTGTCTTAGTTACTTTTCTTGTTGCTGGGACAAAATACCCAATACTATAAATTAAGGGAGGAAAGGTTAATTTAGTTCACAGTTTGTGGAGGTTTTAGTCTATAATTGGCTGGCTGCAAGGCAGGGTGAATAGCAGACAGGCATTGCAAGGAGAAATTGTTCATGGTGGGCAGAAGGTAGCAAAACAAAGAAGTGAGAACACAAGCCTCTTTTTGTTCCTTATGTTGTATCCAGGCTACCAGGATTAGGGTGGTGCTGAACCAATCAGCAGGCTGATTTAGTGATCACACACCCTTAATCCCAGCATGGCACCATGAATCAATCACACACTCTAGATGCAGCCATCTCTGAAAAAGCCCCACCTATGAGGCTTTGGGGGCCATCTAGACATGAGCCATAGCACCTGGGTTACCCCAGTGGGCCTAATATAATCACAAGGGTTTTATAAGAAAATGCAGGAGCTCAGAGTTAGTAAGAGAAGGGGATGTAAGGACAAAGGAGAGGGACTGAAAGAGATGCTGCTGCCTTTGAAGATGAAGGGGGGGACCAGAATGCAGGCACTCTCCAGAAGGTGGAAAATGCTAGGAACAGATGACAATGAACCACTGTCCACTCCACCATTGCCTGCCTGTGGTTTCTGTCCACCCTCACCTCCATTTACTCTGACCTCGTAGTGCCCCTATGGCCAATTCTATGTCCTGAGCATTCATCTCCACTCCCAAGCATATCAGTTCACAGGGACGGCATCTCATTTCTCATGTGCTCCCCTTCTCCCACATAAAGACGTCAGAGCCACAGGCCAAGCTTGGTATCAAGACAGACTCTTCTCCTTCCTTGACAGACAGCACCTGCGTGGAAAACTGCCCAGAGGGCTACTTCACCGATGAGGACAGACACCGGTGCACACCCTGCCACAGCTCTTGCAGGACCTGCGAAGGAACACACAGCATGCAGTGCCTCTCCTGCCGAGTAGGCTGGTTGCAGCTGGGCAGCGAGTGTCTGCTTCAGTGCAGGGAAGGGTAAGATGCTCAGCACATTTTCCCACGTTGAATTCCACAGCCACTCCTGATATCAATCCACTTTGCAGATGAGGAAACTAAGAGCCAGACCTTAATGTAATCAGATTAAAATCTTACTGCTAGAGAGGAACAGAGTAAACCCATTCACAGTATGGAAGTAGAATGGGAGAGGCCCATGACTTCATGAGAGAATGCAGAGTCAGAGGTTCTTATCAGACTCATCTGAGTAACTGATGCAGACAGTGCCCAGCTTCCCTGGTAATTCAAGGAATATCAGCAATTCCAAGGTGAAAGCAATGCCTCCATCCCATGGAGCAGCACTGTGTGGAGGTTCTTCCCCTTCAGCTTTAGAATTTGCTGCAAATCAGATTCAATCTGCAAGGTCAGTCTAGGCAATGCACATGGAACATAGATTTTACAAAGGGAACCATTTTGGTTAACAGCTCCATTTATAGCCCATGAATTCTCAAACACATCACACCTACCACAAATCCACAGATTATAGGTTTAGTTTTCATAAGCAACCAGCTATACCTGATTATCCTGAAAGCATTTAGCATTTTCTACTAGAAAAAACTGCTAGTGTGTTTATTAGAACATCTGGCTATAGCAAATTTAGAAGAAGAATTGACTTCTTTTTTACCCCTGGACATCCCAGCAAAAAGAAATGTTAATTATAGACATGTTGCTAACTCCTCCTTCCCAATCGATAAGGTAGGGCACCGAGAGCTTCCAGACCCAAAGTAAAGGGCCATAACCTCAAACTTTCCACAAGTGCTTTCACCCCAAATGGACACATCTCTGCTCCTCCCATGCACTTTGGTGTCCACCCTGGAACTGGTCCTTGCAGACACTGAGGGATGACTCTGTTCTGTCTTTGCCCCCTCCTGGTTTCAGATATTATGCAGACAATTCCACCGGGCAGTGTGAGAAGTGTCACAAGACTTGCAAGGACTGCAAGGGCCCACACCCCACGGACTGCCTGTCCTGTGATCCCTATTTCTTTCTTCTCCGCTCCAAGGGAGAGTGTCACAGAGTCTGCCCAGAGCATTACTACACAGAGCACAGTACACAGACCTGTGAGAGGTGCCATCCAACCTGCAAGGAGTGCAAAGGTGAGAGGAGATCTATGGTTTTGCACATATGAATGGAAGATGGAAAGTTTCCTTGCAGCTTTGACCTTTTGTCCCTCGGAGGATCCTCTGGTTTCCCAGTCTCAGGCCCAGAATCCTCCTGGGCCACCACACTCTCTTCACACCCAGCTTCTGCATTTTCCTGCAACCTCTCGTTGCCCTTCTGAGTCCTCAGGCTCCAAACCCCGTCTATAGACATTGGCTCCTGTGGGACAGCTGCGCTGTGTCCCATCTGCCTAGGGAAATCAATTTATTTCTGTAACGTCAAGAACTCTCTCAAACATCTACCTCAAATGCTCCCAGACTCATTCCTGCTTTCCATACACCTGTGTATCTGTCCCAGAGAGCCCTAAACTTCTGCTAATGAGCCCACCATCCAGCCACTGCCCATGTTGACCCCTTGACATTGTCCTTGACTTTTCTCTTTCCCTTGCCTCCTGCCCACCCCACCTACCTCCAACACAGCCGACTTTGAGGTCTGTTGACACTCTGTCCTAAATATTTCTCTAAGTAGATCTCCTCCATTCTCATAATCCTCCTTTTCCATCCACCCCATCATCTCTTATCAGATCTGTGAAGAAGCCAGCAGTCATTCTGACCCTTCACCCCGCCATACACAACACCAGGTCATCCAGAACACTAATGCCTGAGGCCTTCTAAAATGCACATTCACTCATTTCCCCTATGTCTTTCCATAAAAAGATGACCACAATGAAATCTCAACATGTAAGAAATAGGTTCTGTACTTCTGTTGAGTATGGTGGCACATCCCTGTAAACCCAACTACTCAGGAAGCTGAGGCAGGAGGATTACAAGTTTGAGGCTCGCTTAGACAGTCCAATGAGATTGTGTCTCAAAACAAGACAAAAAGGGCTGGGAATCTAGCTCAGTGGAAGAGTGCTTGTCTAGCATGTGTGAGGCCCTGGGCTTAGTCCCCAGTACCTCGTACCACAAAAGGGGGAAAGGACACTCTATATCATTTCTTGTTTTGCTTTTGTTTTTTCAAGCACTGGAGATTGAACCTAGAACCCTAACCTGAGCTACATCTCCAGCACTCTTTTTTTCTCTTGCTTCTCTTCTCATCTCTTCTCTTTTCTTTCTTTTTCTTTCCTTTCTTTCTCTTTCTTTCTTTCTTTCTTCCTTTCTTTCCTTCTTTCCATCTCTCTCTTTCTTTCTTTCTTTCTTTCTTTCCTTCTTTCCATCTCTCTCTCTCTCTTTCTTTCCATCTCTCTCTCTCTCTTTCTTTCTTTCTTT